AAAAAAAAAAAAAAAAAAAAAAAAAAAAAAAAAAGGTACAAGGTGCAGACTTTCCAAATTGTGACATGTTAGTGCTCCTACGCTTTTTTGGGGGGTTTTGGTTGCAATCTGGATTAAGCACAAACCACCGAATCTTTAGCGAATATATGTATCAATCCTAATAAAGCAAGTGTCATCAACCCACCCACGCACCCATGTCCTTCGCTAATCGTACTTATGCTCGCTTAATTAGACGACATATCCGCGCGCGTCCCCGCCAACAACCCCCCCCCCCCTGTATCGCTTAAAACCTAGTAGGTTTTAGTGGAGCCCTTCTTTTTTTGGGGGCAAATAGGAAATAACAGTAGTAATTGGAGAATAATGACGAAGGAAGGAAAAAAACAATCTAGTTTCTATGTATGACCAATATGCATATCTAAGTGTACTTAGGGTATTAAACTCCCCAGAGCGCCTACGCAGTTGTAGCCCATAGTGTTTTGTGCGCGTGTGTAGGCACTCAATGTATGAAAATTTCGCATTCTATTGTCCCCAAAAAACCAAAGGCTGTGGGTGATTAGTTGCTGTTGCTTGGTCTCGTTCCCCTTCTTGCACATTGTTATCTGTCCGTCTTGATCGGCTCTTTGAACTCCCCCCCTCCCCCCCCCACATTTCTTTCCTAATCCAGCAACTACTCCGTCCAAATGTCTTGAGTGTTCGGATTTAGAAGAGAAGACCCGCGTACTCGCCTAGTACGCCTTCTTTACCGCCGTCGAAGAAATCGTGCAGACCGTCCATGGCGGCAAATTTGCTTGCAATTTCCAGCCCGCGCAGTCGCTCTGCCTCGATGACATCCCAGTTCCATTCGTCTGGCTGGACGACCTTGGGTAAGCTAGTTTCGTTTTGCTCGTTTTCTTCAGGCGTGGTGGGACCGTGGTATTCCCATCCCTCTGGTTTCAATGGGACCATTTCAGAGTCTATGAGGGCCTGCTCTGGCGGGACTGTGATTCTACCACGCTTAATGACATACTTGGCAAGTGCAGTCGCGTAAACTGCGCCTTTCAACTTTTCCGCATCAACATTTGCAGAGCGGCTTCTTGACTTCTTCCAAGGCTGCAGTGTCCAGCTCTCTGGCTGAGCTACGCCGGGCTTGACGAGATGAGTAACGAGGTAGAACCATTTCCTGTCCCAGCAGAGTAGCCTGGTCCACATTTCAAATTTTTGATAAGGCGGAATCTCCCTCTTGAACAGACAACTTATCCCGCCTAGCGCAATGATATGCCTGCCTGATGTGCCCTCTGTGGCTCCCATGGCTCCAGCCACCTTGGCGCTAGACCGACGACTCTGTTTTCGGATGGCGTTACGCATCAACGCGGTAAAGAGGTGGGTGCGTGAAACGTCCATGTCGCTGAAGTAGGTACTGTTGGACTTGTGCAAGTTGTAATCTGTTTCGACGAGGGTGGTCCGAGTCGAGGAGATCATAGGTTGGAACAGGGCATGGGGAGGAATGGGCGTAGGCTGGACGTAAATGTGGTAAAACATGGCGCGAAAAATGCGTATCTGGGTGGCTGATCAGTTTTGCTGGCTCGCATCTCGTATAGAGTAAAAACAGTCATACATGCCAGACAAAAGGCAGGTTCTTCAGGTTGCCCAAGGCAAGAAGAATCGCAGCTATCCTCCACAAACCACCAGGCGCGTTATAGCCTGTCCAGCGAGCCAGCGCAGCCAGCAGGCCGTCTCTCCATGCCGGTTGCGCCACGAGGACTGCCATGGACGCGCCTGCAACGACAACGCCTGTCGTTTGCGCCATGGTTACCATACCAGATTTAGCCGAAGAGAACCTCAAGGAACGAAAGCAACAGCAAAGAAAACACCGATTGCGAGATTTGAATGCAAGAACGTTGGTCGGACAAAGTGCAGCAGACCCACCCTGATTGAATTGTCACGTTTCTAATCACAAGCCTCGGCTCGGAGTTTAAAGTCCCGACGGTCCATGCTGTCGCATCAATGTGGACAGGGAAATCAATGATTAATTATAACACAATCCACCCCAAAAAGTCCAATCGCTCGGCCACGTGTGGGGCTGGACAAATGACTGGGGGGTTCGTTTATTAATGCTCGCGCTGGAGAGGATTACTTTTTCTTGCCCTTTGTCTTATCTACTACGTCGACCCAGTTCTTGTTGACGCCTCGCTTCTCCAACGCCTTGATGATGGCGTCCTTTTGCGGGCCTTGGACCATGACTTCCATGACAGGAGCTTTAGGACTAGAACCTTGCAGTTTGTCGATGCTGGTGCTGCCTGCACACGTCTTTCTCAGTTCATCGGCTAGAGGTTGAGGGGGAATATAGTAAGATTCCAGGCCATGAACCTTTGTGACTGTCTTGTTGCCACTGCGTGTCTCGAGGATGATTTGAATCTTGGGCGGAGCGCCTGCTTTGGGTTTCGTGTCTGCGATGCTGGCATCGTTGCGAAGAATTGCGTGCAAGGGAGAGGCAGCCGCGAGCATGCGTTCTGCCAGGGCATCTCTAGGCATGGCTCCTGATGAGAGCGCCGCGTTGTCGGCTGCCGATGAGCCCAGCAGTGCGTCTGCTAGCTGGGGATTTATGCGAACAAGACGCTTGTTCTTTTGATCAATGAGGTTCTCAGCCTCGACATATGCCAAGAGGATCTGCTTGAGCTCGGCTGGCGTGTAAAGTCCTCGAGTGTCCGCTTTGGAAGCAGCGAGTATAGGGGCTAATTTCTCCTTGGGTCGGAGCACAGAAACAAGCTTTAACTTTTGGCCGAGTGACGGGTCGGCGGATGGTGGTGGGGCGGCCTTATCGTTTGTACTCGTGGCAGTCGGGCCGTCCTTCTTGGGTAACCTGTATGGGACAAACGACTCCAACTGGCGGTCTTTGAAATCAATGTCGAGCACAACAACCTCATTGCCGTCACGGTCCTTGGACTTGATGATGAGTTGCTTGTCGAGATACTTGAGGAACTTTCGCAGATTCTTCCAGCTAGTCTTTTTGATTTGCAGAGAGGCGGTCCGCGCAGGGGTGTAGGTGGGGAGAAAGGGCTGGACGAGTTGCGACATGACATGTGACTGGGACAGAGGGAATTCCAGTCCATAGGTGGGGTGTTGTTTGTTGTGGTCCATGTGATAGCGCACTCCAAACAGAAAGGCGTTTTTGAAGGCATCGTCGATTTCTGGAGCATGGTTAGTTGTCAGGTCTGGGGCGTGCATGCAGCGAGGGTACCTTTTGTTGTCAGCTCCTTGTCGTCGAGCGTGTCGATGAAATCAGGGTTCGAGGGGGCGTCTTCGCCCTGGACAGCGTCTTGGGTTTCGGGCGGAGAAGGGTCGGCGGGGGTGGTGCCGAGTGGTATGCCGCCGTCTTGATCATCGTCGCCGTCGAGATGGATGGCAGCAGCGCGGTCTGCGAGGGATGCGTCGTGGGATGCGTCGGCGTCCCAGCCGTCAATGGCGTCTGGGGGGTTGCGGCCCGGCTTGCCTGTTGCACTCCAGGACCACAGCTCGTCACCTGCCCAGTGGATGGTGGATACGGCATGGCCCTTTGCGCCTTGCGTGCTTCCCAGAGCACTGACATCGACGATGCACTCGCCCACGGCCATGGGCACAGACGGGGCCTCGAGGCTGGCAATGGCAACAATAGCGCCTTTGGTGGCATGCCTGGGGAAGGGAGGGCCTCGCTGGAGGCCGGGCGTCATCAAGTCGGCGCCCTGCCTGAGCTTGTCGACGACGAAGAGCGGGGTGTGCAGCAGGGGAAGGATGGCGGGGTTGTGCCAGAGCGTGTAGACGGTGGGGTAGAGGCGGTCGCGCAGCTTGAGCCAGAGGACGCGCTGGTCGCCATCGTCGTGGGCGCCGACGTAGAGAGTGCCCGTGACGGTGCTGAGGTCTGGGCCGGCCGTGGTGGTGAAGCGGGCAGACTGGGCATTGTCGGGCAGTATAGAGCGTCGCAGGGCGGTGAGGGCGGCGGCATCGTCGGCGGGCGTGTCTATGGCAAAGTCTGCGATGATCTGGTCCGCTGTCCTGCGCCGGTCGCTCGACTTGAGCGGGGCGAGGGGCTTGATCTGGGCGCTGTCAATAAGGCGAGAGTGTATGCAGGGCTTGCCGGGCGACACTTGCATTGGGCTTCTTCTTGAACATGCTCAATCAGTGGCCGTGTAGTGCGCGGGCGACGGGGGGCGGCGACATGAATGTGTGTGTGTGGGTGTGTGTGTGTGTGGGTGTGTATGTGGGTGTGTGTATGTGGGTGTGTGTGTGGCGGGGCAGGCGATGACGCTGCGCGGGCTGCTGCTCGCCCAGCACAAACGACGCAGGGGCAATGGACCATGCATATGCAGATACGTTGACCAAGTGCATGCGTGTGGCCGCAAAGGAAAAAACAAAAAACACCACGCCCGGCCCCTGTATGTACAAGCCGCGAGGCCGCCCTGCACCAAGGTTGGGGAAGCAATGCCCATGCTGGCCACGGCCCAATCCTGCCCTCCCCGCATCCCAGCAGACTGGCCAGGCCGCCGCCGTTGGCACCGAACCCATGTCGCCCATCCGCCGTGCGCCCCAGGCTGGAATGAGAGAGAGTCATCCAAGTAAGTATGGATGGAGCAGGCTAGCAGGCTAGCAGGCTAGCAGGCCTGTGCAGTCGTACTTATACAAAGATGCGCCGTGTCGTGTTATAAAGTACAACAGGTACCACCACACCCATGCATGTGCGCTACCTGCACCCTCGACGCACCGTCGCCCCTGTGCCTGTCTGGCTGTGCCTGTGCTGCCCTCGACACGTCCACACACTCCCTCTCTCTCCAACACATCGACACACACGCCCGGCCTGTCGCGCCCTTCGCCCCCGTCAGCACTGGCTCCGGCACGAGTAAGATCACATCACGGCCAAAAACTCTGCACGCGCTGGCCCGCCCAGCCAGCCCACAGCACTAGCCCACCATGCGCACTCGGCCCCGGAGCCTCTGTGCCGTCCATCCTCCCCAACTGTCCATGGAATCATGCGGAGAAGCGGCGCCACAACAAGGCCATACTGCACCGCTCTGCTCCTGTGCTCCCTGACTCCCTTCCCGCCCTCATAACCCCCCTCCACCCTCGCCCTCTGTCGACTCGCCCTCTCCGCCTCAGCCATGGTAAAAGTGTTGAGCCCCATCTGTGAAGCCCTACGCCGCGTGACATCACTCCTCTCTTCCTCGGCTTCCGCCTCGGCTTTCCGCCTCCAAGATTGAAATTTTTACCCCAACACCATGAGCCCCCTTCCCGACATGGGCTGGCAGGAGAACCACGTCGTCCCAAAGCCCACCGACCGCGAGGAGCTCGTCCTCGAGGCCTGGGCCCAGGGCTACCTCGTCGGCTCCCTCATCATCATGGCCTTCATCACCCTCGCAAACATGCGCAGAGGCGTCTTGTTGCACAAGGTCAGTCGGCGCTAAACACTGCGCGCCTCCCCTCTCCCCCAAATACCTCGCCCGACTTGCTGACATTTTGCTCCAGTTGATTCTCCTCGAAGTAAGTCCTTGATGCCCTTTGATCCTGCCCTTTGTTTTCTAAGGCGCCCCACTGACCAATTACCCACTCAGCTCATTCTCGGCTTGTGGCAAGGCTTCTGGTTGTTCTTCCCCTCCCCTGTCCACGCCTGGTGGCTCTCCGTCGCCGCCATCTTCCTCAATGCTTCGTGGTCGCTGCACAACGTCATTGCCTGGATGAAGATCAAGCCCTTCTTTTCAAAACCCACCAGCTACATCTTCATCGGCACAATCATCCTTGCCCAGCCATACTGGATCCTCGAGATTTACGCAAACTTTGCCTACTTCCACGGCGTCAACAGGCTCTTTCTCAGCACCAGGCCCTATGAGGCTCTCTGTCGCGACCCGTGGTGGATCTTGACCACCATCTACCTCTTCTGGGTCATCAAGACGCAGTATGAGCTCAGCATCAAGGAAATCATACGCATCTCTCCGCGCTTCGGCATCATGCTCTTCTCCATGGTTCTGAGCATCATCTTCATCATAATGGACATCTTGTCTGTCACTGGTGCGCTCGCTCTCCCAGGCCCTACGGGCATCAATCCTTTCTGGAAATTCGCCTTCGTCTTCAAGTGCTTGACCGACTCGGTCGTTCTTGACGATTTCAAGGTCGCCCTGGATCGTCTCCGCGCTTTCCGAATCAGCCGCTTGGGCAGCTTCTCTGGAGACATGAGCGACAGCCGCAGCCGCAACGGCAACAACCTCGTCGCCACCTGGGAAGAGATGGAGAGGGAGGCCAACGCTCTACAAAATGTTCGCAGCCCCGATGGCGACTATATCCATCCCAGCAATTTCCCCTTCAAGCCCAAGCGCGCCCGCAGACCACACAAAGACTCGGTCATGTTTCCAAACCAACCCGACTACCGCGACTGCAACGCAGGCCTAGACCCCGAGGACATTGTACCTAGTGCCCTGGTAGACGAGCCTGCAGGGCCACTAGACAATGGACATCCTGGAAGCACGAAACAGCATCACTTCATTGACGACATGTATGGCCCTGATGAAAGACACAGGGTTGCTGAGAATGACTACGCAGAGGCAATGAGAGACATGCATCGCGATAGCCTACTCACCCCAGCACCAGCCCCCGAGTCGCCGCGTAAATTCGGGCCTCACGGTTGATGGAGGTGCAAAATTCGTTGTCACGTGACTGCCGATCGAATCCTTGGCAACTTTGCAACCCTAACCCGCGCACGAGTCTCGGTCCAGTCCACATCCAGTCTAGTCCGCATCTAAACATGCACTGGATGCCACCACTGGACCCGACTTGATTCCTCCCTGCAGTTTCAGAGCGGAGCCCCAGCCCTAGTCTTAGCACCACAGCGGTGACGAGGCAAATCTCTCGACCGGGTCAAAAAAAATCAAAATTAATAATACGACATGAACGACGACATGCGTTGTTCTTCACGAACCACCACTCGAGACTGCTCCTCTCAACACACAACAAAGACCACCAAATGGCACCTTGCGCGTAATACCAGGCCTCGGCCCTACTGCAATCTGGCTTATCTTACTCATATACCCCATTTGCTGTTTTCTTTTAAAAGCAAGCGCCTATACTACCTTTCGCAGACATACATTACACCCAACATACATGTCTCTTCAGCAATACATATGTGGGAAATAAACCATGCATATACTTTGTATCTATAAAGCTTCATGTAGTTTCATACCGCATGTTATATCACGCGCAGTTGTCCAAGACACACTAGCAAGAAACATGAAAAAAAGAAGAAAAAAAGAAAAAAACATGTTAAACTTCAAACCTCCCTGTGCAATGCACGCATTCACATCTTTGAAATGAAACATTTTTTAGAGAAAAAAAAAGGAAAAACAAAAAAAACAAAAATGTCTGAGAACCAGTTGCATTGATGTACCGTTTTTTCTCTATCTTTCTCTCTCAACCGCCCTAAATGCTCACCCCCTCTTTTTCATTCTCCCAAGAACCGCTCATAAAAATCAATCATGCTAACTCGACTCTCCTTTTCCAACTCCTGCACACACTGCCGCGGCGACATCACCCGGCCAATCGTTTGAATCTCGTCTCGCCACTGCTGCACAACGCCCGCCTGGGCATCTGTATGCACCAAGAAAAAATGCCGATAGTCGCGCCGCAAGTCGACGTGCAAACCCGCAAAGTAGCGCATCATGTTTAGATTGGCTGCGGCCGGGTCGCGTTTAACTGTTTTGAAGTACGTCACTGGCTCGCTGTCTGCGATGATGCGCCGCTCTGATAAGACGGGGAATTTGTCGGGCACACGACTGAGGGGCTCCGAGGGGTGGTCTTGCTCAATATACTGGCTTTCGGCGAGAAGAGTGTAGAGGCGGGCACGGCTGTTTGTTGCTGTTAGCTTGGAGATTCGCGAGATGAAATCATGCCGGGCGAGACAAACCTCTGCATTTCTACGTCACCACTGTCGACCCGATCCGCGTACTTCTCGCAGTAATCAAATAGATACTTCATTAGTTCTGGGCGGACACACAGACGCCAGAGTAGATTTGCCGTTTCCACCTGGCGTCCCCCACTCGGCAGGCCCTTGTACTGCTTCAATTTTTCAATCTTCGCAAAGAACAGCTCCATGATTTTCAAGGCGACTTGCGGTTCCCTGTCAAATACCTCGTCGGTAATATAGATGAGCCCGCCGACGGGGAAGATTTCCACCGCGCCATAGCGGTACACGGGTGGATCAAGTGACAAGGCAGGATCGTACTCGATACCTTCCTGCATGCCAAGCGACCAGACACGAACTTCATGACAGAGCATATCGCCCAGACCAGGTAATTCGGTGAAGTACTCGAAGCCAGCGTGTACCTGGCATAATTAGTATACCTCTGTTTGACATCCTGCACAACAACCTACGATAATGACGCCAGACCCTTCGTTCTTGATTTCCTGCTGAAATTTCGTCCACCCGCCTGGAAAATGCACACCACTGACCTCGACGTGGTGCATCAGCAGCCACCGAGTAATCAACTCCAGCTCCTCCGCATGCTCTTCCGAGTGGTAAACCAGGAAAGCTCGACGGTCCATTAGCTTGATCCCTCTCTCACAATTATTACTGCCAAATAATTCTTCAAAGTTGAGATCGCACACTGACTCAATCCTCTTTTGCATTTTCTCACACGTTGCTTCGGGTGCACCAAACTCCACAGACTCCGCAGGCTCTATAACCTCAGGCGACTGAGGACGAGTTACATCATCGTCTGTAGGCGCCAGGGTCTCCTTTGGTGCCTCGACAGTAGTTTTAGAATCTTGCAGAGTCGCTTTATCTGTAGACACATCGTTGCCCCTGTCTGGCAGAAGACGAAGAGAAGATTCGATGTGGTGATGCGGAGCACGAGCAGGAATTCCAGTATCATAATGTTGAAACTGGCAGCTCTCCGCAGTATTTCGACACACATCATTGGCCCAGTACCAGCATGTCAAATCCCGGGGGGCCAGCCTGTCCATACTCTTCACTGGCTTTAGCGTACCATGTGTTCGCTCATTGTGCGGCTTCGCTGGTCTCGATGCGATTTCTGTCCGCTCGTTATGCGACTTGGCTGGTTTCTGTGCATCATTTGTTCGCTCATCCTGCGGCTTCACTGGTTTCTGGGCACCATTTGTTGGCTTATTGGGTGGCTTTACTGGTTTTGATGCACCCTTTTTTTGCCCGTATACCGGTTTTATGTTTTTGTCGATTCGAGTGGCGTTCTCGCTAGGATGATTTTCGTTTGGTACCCAGCCAGTATTTCGGTGGGCAAAGTGACACTTGTCAGCTGTCTTAAAACAGCCAGTTTTCCCGTACAGCCAGTGGGTGCATGTAAGAGGTGGCCTGCGGTATTTTGGGGGTATTAAACCTCCAGCATGGCCTACAGGGTAATCGTGTCCGTCGGGGTCCTTGTTACGATGCAGAAAGATGCAAGCCTGAGCAGTCTTTGGACAATTGTTGCTGAGCCGCCATTCGGCACACACCTGTGGGACCTTGTTCACTTCCCAGGGTGCTAGAGGAACATTCTCGTCAGTCAAAATCTCACTCCTAGACCCTCGCCGAGCATCATTGCTCTCTATACTCCTTGTACGGCTCTGGCGAACCTCGCGGCGAGCATAGGGATCATCATGTGGGACCGGTGGTTTTGGCTTGACGCTACCAGACGGGCCATTTACAATCTCGAGCGCTGCTGGATCAGGCGTGCCTTCAGCACGCGACCGCTTTTGTGCCACTGCTCGGAAGTGTAAAGTGGAAAATGCCTTTTGGCCCTTTGTCCATTCACTACGCAACTGCATCTTTGGTTGATTAACCACCTTTATGGCACCACTACGTTTGGCCTTGTTGGCACTTCCCTGACTAGCCGAGTTGGCCGGCCTCTCTACAGAAGCAACTGAAGTATCAGAGGCACGAGCCTTTGGTGTTGCGTTGGCAGTTTTTGCTAGCTGCTGTTTGGATATTGCAGGAGGAGGAGCATTAGCTTCATTAGCTGACTGGGATTTTTCTGTCACAGGCGCCGCCGCAGCTGGTTCACTACTCTGCGAAACTGCATCATTTAGAGATTGAGATGGTTTTTGTGGTTCCTTGTTGGCTGCCTGCTTGGTTTGATTTGCTTTTGCAACTGGTTCTTTGCTCACAGGCGCCGCAGTGCGTTTAGTCGGGCTGCATGGTGACTGCAATGAATTGCGTCTTGATTGACCATGACTAGCTGAACCCTTGGTTCCAAGTGAACTGCATGTCGTCTTTTTCGAAATTTTACCCAATTCAGCCATCATTGAGTCATCTATTAGGTCTTCCTCAGATGATGATAGATCCGACTGCACTAAAGGTGGTTTGCGCGCTATTTGAGGTTGCTTGGGTGATGATAAGCTGCGAGTACTGGCGGTAGCTTGTTGTGGAAGGTTCTGATTCTGCGGTCGATTTGATGCAGCACGCCCATCTTCGTCTTCGCTGTCCGACACAAAGAGTGCCGACCGTTGCTTTGTCAAGGCAAGCCTCTGTCGCTTCTCATCGCGCTTTGCTTTTCTGGCCGCCCTGGCAGTTTCTGCAGTTTCAATTGCGGCATGGAAGTCGTCTATGTTCTTTCGACAATACCTGTAGAAGTGAGGTTCGCCCATAGACTTCTTACTATCGTACCATGTTCGGAGCAATGGTGGTGTCCCGGGTGGATTGTTGCCACCATCATCAGGAACAATAAAGGCCGATACAGGCTCCCAAGTGCCTAGGAGGCTTTAGTAACTTGTGGAGATGCACGAGGATGTGGCGAGGTGAGATTGCATGGCAGGCCACCATGACAAAAGATGTTGAACAAGTTTGTTTTGCAGGGAGGCTTGGAATACTTACATCTTCACTACTCGTCAGCCAGCTTCCGACAAGGCGGAATGGTCAACTCACTCGTGAAGTGGATAGCCATCCCATTTGGTCAGGTACTTGATACCGCGGAAGGCGGGCTGGGAAGGATCGTCATCGTCCCAGACGTCCCACTTCTCGGCCAGAATCTCCTCGACTGCGTAGACTGCGTCGTCAGCGGGCTCGCCCTCGACCGTCGATGTGATGGAAATGTCGTCGGCGTCCAAGTGTGTATCGGGGTGTGGAGACATGTGGCGAGCGGGCTCCTGATTGGTGGGGGGCGCCAACTATGAAATGCTGAAGCGGCAGGCAGGTGATGGCTGTGTGGGTGCAATTGGGCCGGCACTAAATAGAGCACGCGGTCCCGTGCAAGGTGCAGCGGCAGTGGGCACGCGGAGAGAGAAAGCGAGAGACTATCTGTGTGGCGGTTTGGGCGCTGAGCGATGAGGTGGACAAGACAAGCAAATCAAACAAAGCCAGTACCAGACAGGCACAACCGAGAGCCCCTGCGTTGCATGCACGGAATGGACTACGTAAGTGCATGGGGAAGGTGAAGGTCGGGCATGTCACTAGCGGCTCGCTTACCTAAGACAGGCATGGGCTCGGGCTCGCTCGTTCGCTGGGAGAGGGCGCTGGCTGGTGCTTGGTGGAGCAACTCCAGGAGGCAGCGAGATACAAGCACCTGTCCACCACCACCGGCCCCAAAACACACGCCTCTCCTGCCTAGCCTGTCCTGCTTTCTGCGACGCCCTCTCGGCTCTGCCTGCTAGTCTCCTCGACCACCTCACCACCAAATCCCTCTTGTCCGCCCAGCCGCCCAACCGCCCACCCCATCTTCCTCCCCGCCCACGGTCATAATGGCCAACGACGAATATGACGTGAGTGCCCGTCCGCCTGCAGTCGACCGTCTGCCGCATCTGCTGACTGCCCGCCTACACAGTTCCTCTTCAAGGGTACCTCCAGGCCCCGTCATCGCCCTTAGACTGCCCCGCTAACCCCCGCAGTGGTGCTCATCGGAGACTCTGGCGTCGGTAAATCCAACCTTTTGAGCCGTTTCACGCGCAACGAGTTCAACCTCGACTCAAAGTCGACCATCGGTGTCGAGTTTGCCACCCGTTCCATTCAAGTCGACGCCAAGACGATCAAGGCCCAGATTTGGGATACTGCTGGCCAGGAGCGTTACCGCGCCATCACGTCCGCATACTACCGTGGCGCAGTCGGCGCTCTGCTCGTCTACGACATCAGCAAGCACCAGACATACGAAAACGTCACCAGGTGGCTCAAGGAGCTGCGCGACCATGCCGACTCCAACATTGTTATTATGCTCGTCGGTAACAAGAGCGATTTGAGGCATCTGCGGGCAGTGCCAACTGAGGAGGCCAAGCAGTTTGCGAGTGCGTATACCTAACATGCGGCTTTTTGGCTCCTCACTCACATTTATACTAACCACTATCTCTAGGCGAGAACAACCTTTCCTTCATTGAAACGTCTGCCTTGGACGCTAGCAACGTCGAGCTTGCTTTCCAGAACATTCTCACAGGTAGGCGCTCCCCCCACCAAGTAAGTAGCTCCGAGAAGCATTGCCACTAACCCGACTCCCAGAAATCTACCGCATCGTCTCAAGCAAAGCTCTTGACCAGGGCGAAGGCAGTGGTCCCGTCCTTGGAAACGACCGCAAGGTGCTCGAAATCAGCAAGTCGGCCGACGCAGAGCAGAAGAAGGGATGCTGCTAGACGAGCAACCTACCAGCCCAAACAGCAATGCTCCGCCCACACTGTCTCTGGCCCTGGCCCTGGCTGCTTCTGCGCTGCGCATGTTGTTTTGACCGGGACAAGGACGGTGCGCTCCCACGGCGGGCGATACCATGAATGCAATGTGCTACACGAGTCACGCAAATGCCCTCCAATTGGCGTCCAGGAAGTCCCTCGCTTTTTACATGTGCTTTGTGTCTCTGCTTGCTTTCTGTTCGGTTAAAGGTGTCTTGGGGGGAAGGAAGGGGTCTCGATGGTTGGTTTTGCCTGCCGCAAGGCCATGTTCTTATCATGTTTGGACGCGGAAGACGATAATGGAATTGACTGATGTGTATCTAACGTCTTATGCAATGACACTTCATGTTAGATTCTTTTTTTTTCTCTTGCGGATTCCACAAACAACATACTATGTCACAATCGCTACTTGTGGAGGAATATAAATGTCACAATCACTAATTGAAGAGATATATTCTTCTCCTAAAGGGGAGAAATGCAGAATGTCTATTGGTTTGGGTATGCTCATCATGCTCATGAAACGCCTATACTCTTTCTACTACCATTGATGTCATTAGGTCGCCATGTCTCTTCTGCTTTTGTCCCAGGAGGCAGGTACTGTCCACTTTGCTCCGACGTTCGCCTATATGCCGCCCCGCCCAGGCTATCATCTCTCTTCTCGTCTCTCGACTCGGAAATGCCTGCCATGGGATACATTCCCGTTCCCGACATGGTCGACGGACTAGCCGTGAATGCCGCTCGAGACTTGACATCGGTTGCAAGCGGGAGTAGGGTACCATGGTCTTTGGACTTGAGCGCTTTTGCGCGCTTGTCCGCCTTTGCGGCATCGTGCGTGCGGTCGTAGAGGTACAGGCCGAGGAAGGTGAGTACGAAGCCGAATGCTTGTATTTTAGTCATTGGTTTCCCGAACCAGACAATGGCGAAGACAATAACGAAGACGCGCTTGATGAGACTTGCGACGGAGTATGTGACGGGGGAAACCATGGATAGTAGCACAAAGGCTACTATGTTTTGTCCAAAGTGGAATGTTCCGTTGAATAGAAACTCAATGAATAGTCGTCCGTGGTCAAGAGCGCCCGGGTGATTTGATAATTCAATCGAGGCATCGTGCAAAAAGTCAAAGATGAGTGTGAATCCTTCGGACCACAACCACAGCGGGAGGGTAAAGAGAAACGCAAGTCCGGAGGAGTAGCAGAGTAGATTGAGCTTGTCCGGCTTGGTAAATCGGTTGGGTGGGAGCCCATCTTTCTCAGCGGCTGCGGCATCGTTGAAGATTTGCTTCGAGACAATGTTCTGTACGACGAAGAGAATGGCACTAGCGAAGGCGGAAACTAGGCCGATAAAGTTGGCGTTGAAATCTGCTGAGCATGCTAGTACTACGCCCAGAGTGAGAGGTATCAGCGAAAGATATGTAGGGAGTGAGTACTGAATCTTGAAAAAGATACTGTATGCCATAACAGTCAGGAGTGGCGAAAGTCCCTTTATAGTGTGCACAAGCGAGACAGGTATTCTCGACGTAGCATCGGCGCTCAGTATATGCCCACCAATTTGAAAGCACGTCAGGGGCAGTGTGGCCATAACCAGCTCCCTAGAGGGCGGGCGGATTCCATATTTCAAAAAGGGCATTGCCTGTTTCAAGCGCGGAAACTTCCTGGCTAGCATACCGAGTATCAGACACCAGCCAGATACAAACGCAAACTGCACAGTCGTGAGGGTAATAGGTTTGGGTAGCGCGGTGAGAATGGCTTTGGAGGACATATTTGTGAAGATGGACGTCATGTACCAGGCGCCACACAGCAACTGCGCCCCGAGTTAGCGTTGCGTCATGTGTACCCTCTATGCGTGGGGAAAGCATACAATGAGCTTTGGTGAGAGCGGTGCCTTGAGCGCGTCGGCAATCTCGTGGGCATTCTGGCTGACGCTGCCCTTGCGCGTGCGTATCGTCTTGAAGGCCTCGCTCAAGCTCTTCTGGCGCCCGTGTCTGGTCGAGGGGCCCGACGTCGAGGCATTCACTCCACCAAACCTCGCCTCTTTGCGCGGTTGCCACCTATCTGTGGGCATCGTACTGCCGTTGGCTTGAGCTGCAGGGTTGGGACTAGCGGACCGCGACGAGCTGAGGCCATAGCCATGGTCTTCCTCGGGCGTAGGCATGAGATCGGGTTGGAAGGCGGGAAATTTAAAGGTAGCATTGGGACTGGGGTCCCGCGCCGACGGTGGCGACATGGCGACTGTGGAGCAAAGCGTCGTCGAGGGGAGTGAGGGGGGGTTTATCGTGAAAGAGTTCGTTACGCCATGGGTGGTGAGAGAGAATCAAGCGTCGGGTTACAGTCTACAGGGAGTGCAATGCCGATTACACGTACAAGACGCCGAAAGTCGCAGGGCCTAGCAGTGGTAGCGAGGGGGAGCGTGTACCGGGGATCTGGGCGGAGAATTGTCCCAAGAATAGGACGCGGTGTTAGAAAACAAGCGTCGCAATGGGTCCGTAATTAGCGGAGAATTGTCTGGCTAGCGTTCGTGATCCCATCGACACGCGTCCAAAAGCGGTTCGGTTGATGGCCGGTGCAAAGTGACAGGGGGGCGGGGAGACAGGCGATTGCTTGGCTATGCACCACCACCACCACCACGATTCGTCAGCCAAGCTCCACTGATATAGCCTCCAACGCCTTTGTGGCTTGGTTTTTCTTGCTACAGAGGCACCGATTGTACTTGAAAAGAATAGAAAAACAACAGAAAACTCGCTTCCTGGCCTACTTCGAATGCATCGAGCGGGTCCAGCAGTAATACCATGTTCGTGAAGTTGAATCGACTGTCGTCATCGGTTTTGCTATCTTCGTTCTTACTCCTGTTCCAGCGGCCATCAGCTACTCGAGCACAAAACGTCTCCATGTTGTCCTTCGGCGAAACATGGCACGTTCTCGGACCTTTTCAGATTGGGACCAGAGGCACGTCATGAATGAGCACGCCAGCATGAAGTCAACCCTCACCTACTAACATTTGCCCAGAGGCTTCGTGGGGTGCAGATCCACTTGAATATGCTGGCGGCTTTAGAAACCTCACTTATGATCCAGACGCAAAATTCCCCAGTGCCTTACCAGCGAATGGGACTGCGTCGTGGAACATCACCAAGGCCAAGCAGACCCTAAGCACTACTGGCTCAGCTAATGCATCTTTGAGCATTAGCTACTCAAACGTGGATTGGGACTTTTTGAAAGTCGTTTATGGATGGGCTGCCGTCCAGTATCAGGCCTGGGTGCGCGGTGAGATTGTCGTGGGCGGCAACGATACTCAGACTGGCATCTTACATACAGACTCTATCCTAGAGTATTGGATCGACGACAAGCATTACTTTGGGGGTGACTACTACAGCTTCCGGCATGCGCCTCCTGTGTTGCATCTTACGCCTGGCTCACACAGAATTGACATTCGTCTGGTCCGCGACGTAAGAGCCTTTGGGGGTATTCTAGAGCCAACCATTGACGTCTTGGTCGACATACGACAAGTGACTGCATTACTCGAACTTGCGAAGCCTGGAATTCTAATGTCTGACGTCATAAATGGAAGGCCCGCCTCTACTATTGGGTCTGTATCCCTGAGGAATAGCGGGCAAGAGGATATTGAGATCTTGGGCATCCAACGGTCCATTGCCAGCTCCCAAATTCCCTTTGCAGAGCGAGACATTACTGGTCAGACTCCTTTCAAAGTAGACTTGGATGTCGCTGACCAGAGGGACCCCATGTCCTCAGATAATCATCGTCGTACCTTCCCCATGACCATAGTTCCTGGTCAAACGAGGCCTGTGCCATTCGAAGTTCTTCCAGTAGCCGTTAATACGTCTACTGTGGACTATGAGATAAAATATAGAACAGTTGGTAGCACTGACTCTTCGACAATCGGTGCTTCCCAGCCCCTTAACCACGTAGACCTTTATGCGCCTCATAAGATTACATTCCTCCATCCAGGTGGTATAGTGTCTTATGCTATGCTTCGGCCTCCTGCCAAGAACGCAACTTGCACATCTAATCGCTTGAAACTACCGGTTCTTCTGCAGCTTCATGGAGCAGGAGTTGAAGCTGAAAACCCCATGGTCTATCACGCACTGGACCCTGTATCAGACCTCTGCGCGTGGGTGTTGTTCCCGACAGGCGTCACTACATGGTCTGGCGACGACTGGCACAACTGGGGCTTCGCAGATGTGGAAGCAGCGATTGCAGCGATTCCGGATTGGATTGAGAATAACAACTGGACTGGCCCTGGTGTTGATCTGGATCGCTGGATAGTTTCAGGCCACTCCAATGGTGGTCAAGGGACTTGGTTCGCCTTGACACATCGTCCAGACAAGGTGCTGGCTGCGGCCCCGGTCTCTGGATATAGTAGTATCCAGAAGTATGTCCCATTCGAACTTTGGCAGGGCGCAGACCCCAGACGCAAAGAGATTATTAGCGCCTCCCTAAACAGTTATCGTCATGAACTGCTGATGCCGAACGTGCGAGGCATTCCTATCCAGCAGCAGCATGGTGCGATTGATGACAACGTACCAGCGTATAATTCGCGCCTACTAGCGCAACAAATCCATCAAGAGAACGCCAAGTCGAGTTTCAATGAGGTCGTTGGCTTCAGCCATTGGTGGGATGGAGTCATGACTACACCACAATTAGTCAGCTTCTATTACAGCCAGACAAATAGCGAGGATATCATGCCACGAAAACTGAGGCAATTCAGCTTTCTTGTTGGTGATCCCGGCGATATGGGCAGCAAAGGCGGAATCAGGGTGAAGCATCTAGAAGACCCCGGACGATATGGACGAGTCAGCGTTCGAGGAAATATTATCAAGACTTCGAACGTGCAAGATCTTGAATTCGACATTGTTCTTTGGAACGAGTCGGTGACAATTGATCACAAAAGGTTGGAACTCTCAGGAGAGGCAGTAGCCAGTGTCTACAAGTCGGCCGACGGTTGGACTCTTAGCCCAGCTGGGAAAGAAATTGGACGTGTCCAACGAAACGGCCTTCAGCTGGGCTCCATGACTGCCATTCTGCGTACCCAAGGCTCTTTTATCATCCGACATCCAGCGTCTTCAGCCGCATCGCATATTGCTCTGCAGGTTTCCCGCAATCTCCACCAATACTTCAAAGCAGACACGCAAATTCTCCCCTCTACATCAAGTTCCATCCCTTCAGGCTCTTCTGGCAATGTCATTACTCTAGGTATCGCCGATAGTCTCCCGCCATTCCAGTCTAGCTTCCCTGTCCGTGTCGGTGAAACCGGAGTCACTGTTCGTGATTATCATGGCCAAGAACACCAGTATAGGGAGGAGGCCCGTGGTGCTGCGTTTCTGCGCCCACTTGAAGGTGAACGACTGGAATTGGTTCTTTGGGGCTCTGACGAGGCAGGACTGCAGCAGGCGGCGCGGGTTTTGCCCCTGATGACAGGTGTAGGGCAACCAGATTTTGTGGTCTTAGGTGAAAGTGCAAGATGGAAAGGTATTGAGGGTGTGCTGGCTATGGGCTTCTTTGATTCCAACTGGGAGATTACTCCGGCTAGTGTCATTGACAGTGACATTGACACGTATCAGGCTGATGATTAGGTGTAACTTCTGATACCATGGACTGTGTATATAAGTAATGGACGGCATGCACGTGTGAAGCCACATACCTATTGTTAGTGTCTTCACTCTCCGCTTTCAAAGCTAAACGTCGCTCTAAGAATTAAAAAGGCTGCTTATATATTTCAATTAAATTTTCTTTCCAAATTCTAATTTGTAGGAAGAGCTTTTTAAGTTGCAGTAACGGAGAAGCATTCTTATGTCTTCTATTTCAACCACTACTCTAATTCCAACATTAATGTAGTATTCAAGTAAGAAGAAAATCTCAATTTAGCTTCTTCAGCACTAAAAGCTAGAAACAAAAACGCTTTCTGCGAATAAGTACTGCCTTGAAAGGAGAATTATTTTAATTCTGACATGGTCTTCAAAATCCAGGAATTACGTTTATGTTATAGAGAGAGGAAGAGAAAGAAGAATTCGAACCTCCTCCTCTACATCAAAACAATCGATACACCTTTTGAAACTAAAAATCCCTATAACCCTTCCCTCCACTCACCATACTCGCACTAATCTTGCCAATCTCCTCGCTATTCCTAACCCAAGCCCCCGTCGCATCGCGCCACACCCCACTCCCAAATTTACCCCTGCACCAATCCAGCACCTTCTCCGCCTCTCCTCTAATCCTCTGCTCAATATCCCTCTCCTCCTCTTCACCTCTCCCTCGTTGCCCCCGCTTCTGTTTCCGAAAAGTCTCAACAGCATCAACGAGATGTCCGGCATCTTCGTCGCCATACACGAACTTGACAAGTGACAGACCAGATATCTGCGAGTTATTGTTACTGCCGATTTTTTGGAAAACCTCGGGATCTAGTTTTTGGCCTTGGGCCTTGTATTTGGGCTGGTAACCCTCACATGCGTCCGAGACGTCGTGCATCCATGCGCGTGCGTTGTTGAAGTCGCCTTCAGCGCGGTGCAAGATGCTGTGGAGAAGCATGCCCTCCACAGCCGGCGGGGCTTGCATGTGGCGGACGAGAAAGTGGGCAGATGGCAGGTCGTGGTTTAGGATATGCAGGAGAGCTTCTATTGTGGGGTGGACGTGCAGATCTGCAATCGTCGCCGTTAGGTGCGTATCTTGAGGCTTCTTGGGTGCATGGACAAGGCTGGTGCTTGTTATGAGCTTCCGTGATATCGAGTCGAGTTGCTGGGACACATCAGAGTCTGACATGGCTCTTTGATTCTCTTTCTATCTCTTCTTGCAAAATGTAGTGGGCGTATTGTAGATTGACCGACTACCAGGTTGACAGTACGCAATAGGCTGTGAGTACGTCGATACTAGCATACATGCACCCAAGATGGAAAACACACAAAGTGTGAAGTGAGAAGATTAAGGAATGAGCGTATTATATCAATGTTTATCAACTAAGTTGCGAATTTGAGTGACGTGCTTAATGCATGGTGGTGCCTTCATCTAAACGCGTAGACGTCATCATGGACCCTGAAACTACTAAAAAGAAAACAGTGATCGAAGCATTTGCTTCTTGGGCATTCCATCATTTGATTGGCTACTATCGTGGTTGATGTCGTAGATTGACGCAAGGAAATCCTCCTTTTCAAGTACAGTGAGCTCTAAGGTATGCACCGTTGCATTCCTAGCCAATTACGAGCATACCACCTAGTCATACATGAGCCATAAGGAGATTTAGGAAAAGGAAAATCGCATCAATGCTTCTTGTAAACGCCTGCAGATTTGCATGAAACCCCAACATGAAAAATGAAACCCTACAAATTTACACGGTAAACAAGCTGGTGAAGGTATCCGAGATGATCAGGTAGGAATGGACCCCGGGGCGAAAAGACTTTACGTCTGTTGTTGCTTTTCTTCTTCAAGGTTCTTGTATTTCTTATTCGCATCATCTCATTGCTGCTTGGCTCGCTGTCCATTTGTCTTGGCAGCCTCGCGCTCCTTTTGGCGCTGTTCTTCGGCTTCGACCATTTCTTTGTCCTCAAGTCAGCTTGATATCTTCCATGGATTGAATGCAAGTCTCGTACCTCTCCACTGGTCCTCACCAGCATATCTCTCGTGGTGGATCTTCTTCTCAATGACGTGCTTGTGCTCGGGGTCGTTGGGATCGATAATCTTGATGGTCTCCCACCTTCCCTTGCCCTTGGCCGCATCTGCACCTTCAATGGCAAAGCTGCCCAGTAGCGCAGCCAGTGTACCACCCTGGGCGTACATACGCGCCTGCACAAGCTTCTGTGACCCACTCAGGTAAGGGTTGCGGTTGACCATATGCCACGAGCCGGCCATGGAAGCAACCCAGAAACCGAACAGGAGCGGGTAACGGTTCTCTGTCGCCCAGTCTTTCGCACGTTGGAAAGGCGTTTTGTTGGCTTCAAGAAGGTTTTCTCGTTGCTGTTCACGCTCGATCTGGCGCTTCTTTTCGGGAGTGTGTTCAATGTCGTATTGTGCGGAAGCCCGGTCGGCGGCGATGACGGCTGAGTTGTATGGTCAGACCTTGAAATTTTGTAGTACAAGAGTATTGTTGAATTGAGACATACCGACAAAAGTTCCCGTTGAAGCGACAAGGAAAGCCCGGAATGGCACGGTAAGGGCTCGGAAGGAGTGGTAGCGTCTGCTTGCGCCCACAACAGCCGCAGCACCTACTGCGATGCCGATGATGCCACCGATTGTGCCACCCTTAACTGTAGCACTGTTGCTTGTTAGTACAAAGCTTTCGGCGGGGTTGTGGTCGCGCTTACTTGTAATGCGCCTGCTCCTCTTCCTTGGTGAGAACCTTCATCTTTGGTTATGTGAATTTGGCTGGGTAAAAACAATGGGTTGTTGGCGTGTGGATTGCTGGATGGGAGGCAGGTGGGAGGCGGTTATGAGGAGTTGTTGAACTGTTGAAGAATTGATGACTGTGAGGTGATATGGGAAATAAAACGGCGTCTACGGCGACTTATTAAAACATGATGCGGCGATCAAATCCAGGGCAGATACAGCATGGTGACGTCGCCGAGCTTCCGGCACCGCTAGGCCCTGCTGATGAGGTAAGGGCTTTTTCGGCAGACCCTGCCTAGGCCAAGCCCTACAAAATCTTCTGGCCCGATTATAGACGCCGCACCAAGATCAGGCCATCGATGCGTGATACCTCAGATGCATGCATACACTGTCTTGCGCAAATGAGACAAGCTGCGGCCTTTGGCTTGAGAAACTGTCGAGTACATGCCTCATGCTGCATATCTTTCTGGCCGCAGATGGCAACTGCATCCATTGCCCGGCTTCATTGATAACGTTTCTCATCGATATCAGAATGTATCAAAGTGCGCTTTCGGTATCTTGCAAAATCGACGCAAGAATAGATGCAAAGTAAGCACCTGCAGTAGGCGTAAGCCATGCTTCCTGTCTGTCCCATGTCGGCAACGCGTCGCATGTCGTATGTCGCGTGCGGCTCAGAGTTTGCGCCGAAACGGCATCTCCATACTTGCCGGTACGCCGTTGCTCGCCCTCTGACCACTGTCGGCCATGCGGCTTGACTACTCTAATTGCTTTCTAGACCATCTATATGTTCTCCATATCCTACTATTGTCTTCCTTTCATGGCCCTTTTCCTTGGTGTCTAAAACATCTTGTTGTCAACCCAAGAAGCACTTGCCCGAACGCGTCCGAGGATTGCCGAAGTCCGTAAATTCTCCATACTTCTCCCGAGCTACTGCGACATTCACCCTTCAGCCCGAAAGCTTAGCGAGCACACTACATTGCTTGACTTTGTAAACAAATCCTTCATTCTCAACCAATTCTGTTGAAGAAACTCCAAGCATGGTTCCGCACCACAAACTTCAAACAGCACAACGGCTGGATTCGTCAGACAACTCAATGGAAAACATATGTATTCCTTAGTAAACATTACCACTACCGTATTCCCACTTAATCAGTCAGCTTATTAAGAAGTTTAATTATGTACGCACAATCCAGTTCGCTGCTCGTCATATCGCCCCAGGCTTCCCTCACTAATCCGACCAAAGTCGTCACGATTAATGAAATTGTCGGGATAAACAAGAAAAGTCATGTAGGTCAATAAACCATATCCGCCAAGCGATATCATGTCAGGACAAAGCAATTCATGCTCAGTGTGCTCATCTTAAGCCAATCGATCTGACAATTTTTTTCGACATTGATCTTAGCTTTTGGGCATATCCACGAGACCTTCTTCGAGATTGAGAGCGAGGGGTGCACAAGCTGATGATACCCAACGGTACGTATGTGGACGGCGATATCTAGGGCCCCAGACTTGACATCTACCGAAAAGAGCCAAAAGTGGGTCGCGACGTCGGGTTGCCGTAGCGTGGAAGCATACCAGCTGGGGGCCCGGGGCGCGTAGTAAGGGCGGGGTTGCAGCAGAGCATCGCAACACGGGAGCCGTACTTCGAACCGCGAAGTGACACCATGTGCTTCCGAATGTGACCACCAACAAGCTCGCGATGCTGAGAGCTGCTGTTGGTCAAGATGTACTGGATGAGATAGTTGCCGAACTGATCACCCGCAACTGTCCCGAAATTAGCTTCTCTTGCATTGACCGAGCACACAGGTCGTTACGTACTGTCAATCAAAGGCATACGCGGACGGTCAGGGCGAGCCTCGCAAACGCGGTCGAGATAACGGTCCAGAAACTCGCTGCCACCAATCTTGAGGCATTTCTCAATGACCTTGGAAGCATATTGGTCCATGCTGTACTCTGTACTAAAGCGAAGAATGTGCTCGATTGCTCGACTACGATCAGCAGGCGCGCCATGCTCGCAGATGTGCTGAATGCACCAGTTTCCAAATTGTCCATGTGCAATCACATCGATGCTGGCCAATACCTCGTTTATACAGGGGCGCTATAACGGTTAGCATGGCTAACATGTCACATGCGTCAAGAGTAAATACCTTGTCCTCTTCGAGACAGTTCTCAAAGATGTTCTGTACGACAAGACTTCCGGTCTCGCCCAACGCGACCTCATGCCACATACCGCGAAGGGCCTCGTTGACATAGCGCATGATCTGTGGTGGAGAGTCGCTCCAGCGAAGCTCGAATAGCTTTTGCCAGACATGACAAGCATAGCGGTGGATCACTGTCTCGGGAATGCGACGGAGAAGCTCGTGGACCATGGTTGCCTTGTACTCCTCTGGGACACAATCGAAAGCTTTCTGGATAACATGGCAACCGAAAGCATCCATGCTCAGGGCAAGAGTGTTACCGCGGATAGCTTGAGCAATGGCAATTACCTGATCATGTGTACCATGTTCGAAGCAGCGCTGAACAAGGAAATTGCCGAACCGGTTGATCATCAAAGCATACGCTTGAGAAATGATCGCTTCGACGATTTCGTACTTTTGTTCCGGAGTGCCTACCTTGAGCTTCTGTTGGAGAAAGATGGACGCCTGCTGATCATTGTTGCAGATGATCTTGTCGACAATGTACTTCCAGTTACAGCTCATGTTGCGGTCCAACAGACGACGGTAGTTCATCGGCTCGACAGGGGGTACGTACTGGGTAGTGCCGGTCTCGGGTAGGGCCTGAGTGGCTGTCAGTTCAGAATTCTGGTATAAAAACAATCAACGACTAACTTGTGTATTCCACGGGGAAGATCCCATGTTGTTGGTGAAGTTGAACTCGTTCGCATCCGCAGATAAGTTGCTAGACATGGTGCCGATTGGAGTCGGATGACCAATAGGATACATTGGCGGGAGAGCGTATTGGTTGTATCCAGGATCAAATGCGGAGCTTGGACGAGTAGGCGGATTGCTCAAGCTGTTGCCCACTCCTATTCCCATGCCCATGCCATTGCTAGAGCCAGTATACATACTATTGGACATACCACTATTCATTACGTTGCTGATGTTGCTTGCCCTGCTGGTGCTGCGGAAGCTTTGGTCAAGCGGAAAGTGAGTGGGCTCGTTCAAGTAGCCGGCGCGGCGATAGCTCGACTGTGAGGGCTGTGATCGGGTCTGTACTTGTGCCTGGCTCGGATAGGGAGCTCCGAATCCATTACTGCCCACGTGGGCTGGACGAGCAGACCCATTGCCCCAGCCGTAGGTGCCTTGGGTCGAGGCGTTGAACTTGTTCTGTAGGGTTACAAGAGTTTGCTCGGTGACGTCGTCTGAGTAACCATAATCAGGCTCGGACGATTGGGTGAGGTGCTCCATGGTTGATCGGGCTACGTTATGGCTGTGCATCTCCTGGTTCACGCGATTGACTTCGTTGCGAGCTTCCTGTAGCTCAAGCTTCAGCTTCTGCAACTCGACAGCTTCGACCAGCACAACCGAGTTTTCCATCTCTGTGGGTGGCGTGGACGTGAAGTCTTCTGTGGCTGGAGTAAGGGAAATAGAGCCGCTGGAAGAACTGTACGGATCATGAAGAGGAGAGTGCCTATTGAAGCGCTGCAACACTGAGTCCACTATGGCTCGATCCTCATCGGCTTCCGTGCTGGATTTCTGCATACATTAGATCGATTAGTACCAGTTGATGCGCCAAGGGGCCAGTATGAGCACCACAAACCTTGTAAACATCGAGCGGATTGGGCGGTTCCAGAAGCGATCGATTGCCCAGGGCAGAAGGTCCAAGTGATCGCTTGAAGCCCTGTGTATTGGAAGTCAACGCTGAGCCAAACATGCGTTGCAAAGCATATGGATAGCCGCCTAGACTCAAGTTGCCTACCGCCTGACCCAAAGCCTCGGGTGAAGTGTCGATTCTGAGGTCCCCTGGTACTGGGAACCGGGTGGGACCCTTGCGGGGTGTAGGCGAGCCGTCGGACGCAATGTTGAAGCTCATGGCAGCGGCACTTGAACGTGTGTTCGGGGGGTTAGATGGTATAGATCTGGAAGGCTCACGTAGTATGCAGGCTGCACGGGGACAAGACTGCGGTTCCGAAAGGTGGTGGGGAGCAAATCTGGGGTAATGGGGGGCAAATGTGCAGATAAGATGCAGGACAAATGCCTGTCGCGGCTGGGGCGGCGTCGTATATGACCAAGGTAGATACAGAAGCGACGATGAACAGCTCAAATGTAAGTACACAAATTAGGTGGCAGAAGGTGCCGGAGTAAGGAGAGAGCTACGGCGGCACAAAAGGAAGGAGGGGGACGGGGAAGCCACAGCAAAAACCAGTCGCAGTGAGTGCGATTGTAAGGCAGGCGCGTCATGGCGGGATTTTCCGCCTTCACTTTCACTCGATGCCAAGGCTACAATCTGTGGTGGGCATGCCGTCCAGGTGCCACGGAAATTGCGTGTCGTGAAGACAACAACAACAAAAGGTGTGTGGCTTCTCACGCACATGCCGTCTCGTACCTACACGATGATTGCTGTTGTATTGACTACATAGTGGCTCTCGGGAGTTGCTAGATATAGTACATATGTAATTTGTACGGAAGTAGTGTTGTAACAAAATAGAGAGAAACTAAGAAAGCTTCGTCAGCACTGCAACTCAAAAATCCCTTACTACTGCTTGGTAGTTTGAAATGAATTTAGCCTGCATCTTGAAATCATCTTCCAAGTTATAGGAGATGCTTTTATTTTCGAGATGGCAGGATAAACCAGACGTTTAGCACGTGATGTGACCATAATACCGAGCGTAGCTAGTGTCCGGCCGGTGCCAAGACCGACAGGCTGATCATGCCCTCATCCTGGCGACGTGACCCCCTCCCCCTTGACTGTTCCGCACTCCCTCTGGCTCCAATGGGCCATGAGACAATAGGCCGTACGCCCATATGTAAGACTATCGGGCTGCCCGCATGTTCCCAAGGCGTGCCGACGGGCGTGAGGGCATGATGCATCAGCCCGTCATTTGTACAGCAACAACCACCGCGGCGAGCTAAGCGAGGGTCGGGCCAGGGTGCAACAGCGAATGGCATTGGGGCTGCCCCCAGTAGGCGGTCGGCCTGTGACATCAACGGCCAGCTTTCACTTCTTACAACCCGCCATTATTCTTCCCGTACGCACGTGCAGCCCGTGGCTGGACTGGAAAAACAGGTACCCATGGCCGACCAACTCCTCCAGGCCAACGGCCAGAGCCGCCCTAGCAACGTCAAACACCACACTTCACCGTCTCTCATGATGAACTCGCATTTTGCGGGCGTGGGCGACAATGCCGACAAGCAGGCCTACGAGCATGGCATCCAGGTCATTGACGAGGACAAGATGTTCAAGTATGTCACGGCACCCTAGGCATCGTCCTTGCTGCGGGGCAAAATGCTAATCTCTATTCGCAAACCAGCGGAAACCTGTCTTCATACCTCAGTGTCGAAAATGTCATCCCCGCCGGCTTCAACTACCACCTCATATCCGTCTTTGGCTCGCAGTCAACGGGCAAGTCGACCCTTCTCAACCACCTCTTTGGCACCCAGTTTGGTGTCATGTCGGAGCAGGAGCGTCGGCAAACTACAAAGGGAATTTGGATGAGCAAGAATAAGCGTGAGGCAGGCGGCTCGGCCATGGCAGAGAACATCTTGGTCATGGATGTCGAGGGAACAGATGGTAGAGAGCGAGGCGAGGACCAGGACTTTGAGCGGAAGAGCGCTCTCTTCGCCCTGGCCACAAGTGAAGTCCTCATTGTCAACATCTGGGAACACCAAGTTGGATTGTACCAGGGTGCCAACATGGGCCTGCTCAAGACTGTCTTTGAAGTCAACTTGCAGCTTTTTGTCAAAGATGGCCAGTGAGTATACATTTGACTGGATTTGACTGTACTCTTGCACTGACAGCCCCACCAGATCGAGTCCAAGATCACTCTTGTTCTTCGTCATCCGCGATCACATCGGCGTCACGCCCCTCACGAACCTACAAAACACCCTGATACAAGACTTGTCAAAGCTGTGGGCGACCATATCGAAACCTACCGGTCTCGAAGCCTCGCGGATAGAGGACTACTTTGACTTCGCCTTTGTCGCACTACCACACAAAATCCTTCAACCAGAAAAGTTTGAAGAAGCAGTCACAAAACTTAGCACACGGTTCAAGGAAGGATATAGTGACCCAAGGAAGAGCGGGCTCATTGATGAAACAACCGCACCCATCTTCCTTCCTCAGTACCATCGTCGGATCCCTGCAGATGGCTTTCCTGCGTACGCAGAGGGTGTCTGGGATCAGATCGTGAGCAATAAAGACTTGGATTTGCCAACTCAACAGGAACTCTTGGCCCAGTTTCGGTGCGATGAGATATCCAGAGAAGTCCTCGTTGCCTTTGACGAACAGATCACGCCCCTTGAAGACAAGCAAGCTGAGGCTGCTCGGGCAGGGTCATTCTCGATCATCCCTGACCTTGGACCCATCATGAACACTGCACGAGCAAAGGTCCTCAAAGACTTCGACACCAATGCAAGCCGATACCATAAGGGCGTCTACAAGCGAAAGCAGGCAGAGCTCGAGGCCAAGGTCGACACACGATTGAAGGCTCTGTTCCAGAAGCAGCTCACATCAGCCCACAAGTCTGGCGTGGAAAGCTTCAGCGAAGCCGTTAGCACAGCAGTGAAGAGCGGTCAGAAGAAGGGAGGATCGTACGACTTTGCGCAGATTGTTGACTCTGAAAAGAAGAAGGCTCTTGCCAAATTCGAAGAGGACGCCAAGGCAATGGCTATCGAAGCGGCAAGCTGGAGCAGCTACGAGAATGAGATGAAGATCTTCAACAAGGAGCTAGAAGATGTCTCTAGTCGCCTCCGCAAAGAGGAGATGAGGCGCCTGGCCACCAGAATCGAGCGCTGGGTACGCTCACGTCTGGATGAGTCCGTTGGTCTTGAATTCAACAAGCTCGGATCTGGCCGGGGTGGTTCTGGTGCGCCTGAGCATGGCGATCGACCTCCTACTGAGAAGGACCTTTGGGACCGGGTCTGGAAGATCTTCATCGATACCGTCTCCAGCGCAGAGAAGCGGTTCACTGATCGAGCGTCCAGCTTCGACGCTAGTCCTGAAGAGGTTGAGGTCGGTTTGTGGAGACTGCGACGCAAGTCTTGGGCTGTGCTTCGTGCCAAACTTGATGAGGAAGTCATGGAGGGCAACATCCTGTTGAAGCTCAGGGAAAACTTCGAAGACAAGTTCCGCTACGACGACCTTGGTGTTCCTAGAATATGGAGACCCACAGATGATATTGAGGGCATTTACACCAAGGCTCGCGAGTCCACAATCACTGTCATTCCACTCCTCGCTCGCTTCAAGCTCGCATCGACTTCGAAGCCTCCATCGCTTGATGAATGGATCGGCGAAGCACCAGCTTCAGTGACTCCAGCAGACGAGGACGACTTGACTCCCATCGGCGGTGTAGACGATGAAGAGGGCAAGAGTCTGGAGGATGAGATGACCATTCTGTCTGACGCCAAGCAAGCTGATCTGCTTGTCCGCTTCAAGAAGACCGCGGATGGTGTATACGTCGAGGCCAAGCGCAGTGCCATTGGCGGTATCACTCAAGTCCCACTTTACTTCTATGGTCTTCTCCTTGCTCTCGGTTGGAACGAAATAGTCACAGGTACGTTTGCTACTACTCTGCCGATTCTATTTGGCTTCAATACTGACAGATTATAGTTCTACGCAACCCAGTATATTTCATCTTTCTCATTCTTATGGGTATCGGTGCCTACGTTACCTACACGCTTAACCTATGGGGCCCCATGGCTCGCATGGCCAACGCCGCCTCACAGCAGGGTCTTGAGGTTGGTAAGGAGAGGCTGCGTGCTTTCCTTGAGAGCTCAGATACTGGTCGTCAAGCCATGGCTATGAGCAGTTCGAATGAAACTCGAAGATACGAGAATGTCCGCATGGACAGGTTGAACGGAGATGGCAAGAAGAGCAGTGCCGAGGTTGAGGACTTGGACGATATCTGAGGGATCGAACGTAGGCTTGGGCTCTTCTTTGGACTGGACAGTGTTGGGGTTCAATGGCATGGATTGGAGGTCTTTGATGATGTTGCGCTAGCAATTTTGTCAATGGGGTTTTTCCCACTTGTTCAGATGGCGTAGCGAGGGAATGCAAAAAGCGAAGTTGCTGTCTTGTGCTCTGTTGTATAGTTCTAGATCGTGTTCTTCAGTATGTTCTTGTCCTACTGGTAGCCATTATCGTTGCGATTAATTGCGTGTGACTGTCTACTAGAGCTCAAGTAGCAATGGAAAAGCATCCAAAGTACCTCTTGGTCGTCCTTCATCATACCGTACGACCATCAGCCTCTCTTCCATAAATATCTATACATGATATATACATGACAATCCCCCCAAACCCTTCACACCCCAAACTTCCTCGGATCCAAACTCTCAATCCGCGCACTCCGCGCCTCGCCATCAAACACAATCTCACTCAACAGCTTCCCCGTGCCCGGTCCATTCTGAATCCCCCAACACGTATGCCCCGCCCCCATCAGCAAACCCTGCACACTCGTCTTGCCCACCAGCGGGCCCCCACGCTTCATATTGGGCAGATAACACGCCTGCCTCGCGGTGACCTCTCCATCCCTCAGTTCCTCGGACACGGCCGAGACCTGGTCGATGATGTCCTGGCAGCGCTGCTCGTCGCAGTGGACGAGATCCGTAGAGGCGGGTAGAGGGACGAGTGTGTCGCCGTCGCCGCAGGCGTAGACTTCTTGGTTGGGTCTTGCGTAGATTTCTGGGGTTACCGTCTCGCTTCTGCTGCCGCTGCCGCGCGGCATGTCGATGGCGGTGAAGAGGGCGTAGGCGGAGACGGGGCGGGTGGGGCGGATGGTTACGCTGTGGGCTCGGAGGGGGTAGATGGGGGTGGGATTCCAGATTGATTTTGTCCAGGGGCCTGCGGTGAGGATGATTGTGTCGGCGGGGAGTGTTTCTTCTTGGTCCGAGTCTTTGGGTTTGTAGGAGACGGAGGTTACGGCGCCGTTTTCTTGAGTGATGTTTGTTGCGGAGCCGTAGAGGATTTTGGCGCCGTTTTCTTGGGCGAGCTGGGCCATGCTGGTTGTGAATTGGTAGGGGTGGACTTGGGCGGTTGTGGAGGGAGTGCCCATTTCTTCGTATGCTTTTATGCCTTCTGCAGCGATCCAGTCGAGATCTTTGGGTACGCCGGCGGCTCGCAATAAGCCGATTGCTTTCTCTGTCCGCTTCTGCAGACTCACATGGTCTTCTTTGGCTTTGCCATCTATATCGCCCTTTGCGCTCTTTTTCTTTGCTAGAACACCCAGCATGTCGATTTGGCCGCAGTGAACAGCTCGGTAGCCCCAGCGGTTAGCTCCATCATGCTTCTCAGCTAATTCTTGATGCAGCTTGTAACTCAGTGGCACGATGCAGCTGGGATATGCCCATAATCCCAATAAACCACCTGCTTTTCCTGACGCACCACCGGCGATTTTGGTCGCTTCAAGAAGTGTAATTGTATCTTTTTCTCTATCAAATTTTACGTGCTGCGAGAGAAAGTATGCTGTAGTTGATCCGATGATACCGCCACCTGACAAGGGACATCAGCCTCGGGTTTCTGTGGGAACCGGATGTCAGGAAGAAGTACCGATGATGACGATATTTCGTTTTTGCTGCTCTGCTGCCATGATGGTTATAAGGCGCGATGGTGCTCCAAGCATGTGATGGTGGTTGGTAGGAAGTGTGGCGTTGATGGTGTTGCATTTTTCGGCGGCTAATAGACCGATTACAAAGGTACGTCATAGGTTATTCCTCTCGCAATAAACTGCAAAGTGCCCTATTAGTTAGGGTCAAGTTTCATTTCGAGGAATTATACTAATTAGATTGACTAGTCGGAGTATATAAGAATCGCACAAGGGAATGAAAAGGTAGACTTCTCGCAACGGGATTTAAAAGTCCCCGCCCATGTCGCCCATATCTCCCCCATCGTCTCCGCCCATATCATCACCGTAGTTGTTCTGGATGTATGTATCGCCATCATCTCCCGCAATTGCTGATCCTATGAGACCACCGGCGAGCAGACCACCTCCCGCTCCAAGAGCCATGGCCCCTATACCTGGTCCTCCTCCGGGACGCCTGCCGCCACCGCCCATAGGCATCATTCCACCACCCATCGGCCGTCCGTAGCCACCTCCACCGTAGTAACCACCTCCAACAGGCTGGCCGTAGCTTGGTTGGCCGTATCCATGGTGTTGCTGCGGGTAACCGGGCGATGGCGAATGCGACGAGCCAGAAGCCTTCCCAAGGATCTTGCCTAGAAAGCCCTTGCCCTTACTACCCTTATCCTGTACGGCTGTATCCTGGTATTGCCCTTGTTGGTAAGGATTTGGACTTGGCTGGCCATAACCGCCATATTGTTGTGGATACGACTGGCTGGCTTGGTTGTAGTAATCATTCGAGGCACCACGTGCGTGCGCTTCTTCCTCTTGTTGAAGTTTTCTTGCGAGTTTCTCATCTTCACTGATGTTCGCATACGGGTTGTTACTACTCAGGCTTCCCTTCTCGCTCCCGCCGGTTGGGAAGCCGCCCACTGCCCCACCAGCTGAAGGCGAGACATAGTTGGGAGGTGCGCCGGGAGGCGGCGCTTCACCAGGAGGGTAGACGGGCTGCGTTGGCTTCTCCCATTGCGATTGCTTCGTATAGATGTTTACGTAGAACCACTCGTTGTACTGCGTGTTCCACACGGCCTTCCAGCCTTCGGGTACATGTGGCGGGGGTGGGCCCTGTGCACACTATCAGCTATGTTCATGCATTCGTCTAAGTGTGCTTACCGGTGGAGGTGCGAAATCTGCCATGTTACGTGGACTGTACTGCTAATTCTGGGACGGTATTTTGACCTAGGGTGCAGAAGAAACGATGCGCTGGGATACCCAGAGAATTTCGCAGAGTAAGCTGGAATCCCAAAGTGGATGGGCTGATGACCCGCGGCGCTCCGTATGAGTGCGACTTTCAATACAGTGTGCGTCATTGTGGCGTGGCGACTAGATGATGAGCCAAACACCTGCTGAGCCACATTGCGCGGCTGTGATGACGATGCCAGTTTCCCTGAATACCATGGCACATGGTTCGTAGTAGTTTGTACGCATTCAAGGGATCTGGATGGATGTGATGTCATTCCGGGCCTGGTATGCGAACATGTATCACAAAGTTAAACCCTACCCATGATTCTACACAATGGTACCATAACATGGCTCCAAAATACCCAGTATTCTTATGCGCCAACATGAGCCGGTTTTTGTCATCTTCTCAAAGCCGCCTTGTATGCGTTCTGCGGAATCGTAATTGCTGTAGTGATCGGGTTGTTGCGTTGCTAATCAGATACTTGCTGCATGGTACAACTAGCCCAAGTCTTGATAGAGTTAAGACACCACTAGAGAGGTTAATTTGGTCCGCGACTAGCAACAGACCTTGCAGCAGGCTCATTGCCGATAAGTCAGACCTTTGCCAACGAGAGTGAGAACGCCATCCGGATGTCGGCACGTGCGGCGACTAGTTCTGGAATAGCCCTTGCATCTTCAATCAGACACACATACCTACACGGAGTGAGCTTTATTTAGGACTTGTGTCAAAGGCAACAGAAAGACATGACGGGTAGGTCATTCGGAAAGTGGTATTTGAGGCGACATGAAATGATTTCCATATCCAGCTTCTCCGTGTATGACATGAACACTGCCAAATCTTTCCTTTTGATCGCCCTCTCTCTTTGCGTATTTTCGGAGGAAGATGATATGGTCTGTTTGACTTTGTGTTGGTTGATCCAAGGCGGTCAAGCTGTGGAGTGATGACGTGCACACCTGCAAACAAAAGTGCTGAGACTGTTTCAACAGTATATAGTAATATCAGTATTAGTAGCGTAGTAGTTACAGGGATCAGTAATTATTACGACTGCTTTCACTTGGCAGCTTTGGTATTCGTTCCGGTTCTTTTTCGTCAGAGGATGTGTATATCCTAGGGCGTGGAAATGGTAACGACATGTTAACAGCTGTTCTGTTACCTCCGCTGCTTAATTTTTCAACGGCAATGAATATCGCTCTTGGTGGTTTTCTTCGCGAGGTATGCGTTGGCGTTCCTGTTTGCTATTTTTTTGGCTGCAACCGGGGCAAATACGGCACAGTAATGTCGGTGATGAACATATCGCCTGGTGGACGCACGAGACACATGAAATTTTTGGGTTAGGAAATGATGAAAAAAGGACACTAGCGCTGAGGATGAAGTTTGTAGCACAATGCTGGTAGTGTATCAATGGGTTAAAGGTAGCAACAACATTGAGGTAAGAGGTAGTATCGAACAGCACGCTTACCAAAGGCCGCACTAGAACATGCAGAGGCGCGCTGAGCTGAGCCACCATGCACGTGTACCGCCATGTACCTTGTTCTCGAACACTCTGGCCAACATTCCTTCGTATGCAATCCCAGGATCCGCGGTTGCGTATACGATTTGCCGGTACACGGAATGACGCGACTAAAGTCGAGTCAGACAGTCTCTTCAAGCTCATTTTTTTGTACTAGTTCAATCGGTTGTCCTGTCGGATATCCGCGATCCCATGCCTTAGTAAGAGATAGGCAATAAAGCAAGTGAGTGGATCGAACCGTGTTGTCTAGGCGTGTAGAGGCAAAGGCGCTACAAGAAGTACCACATTGCCTTACCTGAAAAAGAAGGAAAGGAGCAAGCGTTGTTTTCAACACATGTGGCACAGGAAACCGACCCCACAGCCTCGGTCCGGTGTGCAGGATATTGCAGCTATGGCAATATACGGACTGACGCAAGTATCAGTTCAATTCCGTTCAGCCCCAAGATACTACATGCGATTGCAAACGCAGCTATGCCAGTTGTGATGCGGCGCTGAACCTGCATAGCGTTGCATCGGACTTCCCCGTTCGATAGATCGCAACACATATTGCCGTGCCGCTGGATGGAAAACAGTACCAGCGACGGTGCAAAGGGCGCCCGAG